CGGCCCGCTCCGCCCGGCCCCGCCCGCACCGAGCGCCCCGGGCCGGGGGCGGCACCGCGCCACGTCACCGCGCCCCGCCCCGGTGGCACCGAGCCCCCCCGGGGGCCAGGGACCCATCCCGCCTCCGTCCCGGTACCCCCACCCTGCAGCCCGGCACCTCCCACTGTCCCCGGATCCCCGTCCTGCATCCCGGGTCCCCACTGTCCCCGTACCCCCACCCTGCCCCCTTGGGACCCCTCCCAATGTCCCTGTAACCCCACCCTGCAGCCCGAAGACACCCCCCTACTCCTAACCAGGCGTGCAGCCCAGGGAGCCCCCGGTGTGCACCCATCCTTGCGGGGACCCCCAGTCCCTGCCTGCCAGCCATGAGACTCAGGGTGCTGGTGGGTCTCGGGGAAACTGCTCCATGAGCTGTAACATAAAAATGTGGTCCAAGAGCTTCTTCAGGAAGTGTCCCCCTGAGCTGCTCTTGCCTGTGACCCATGACAGACAAAAAATTGTTTCAAAGCCCAAAATTGCCTCATGTCTGAGGGGCACGTGGGCTGTAATCCCAGCTCCTGCACCCCAGCTCTCCCAGCTGCCTGGCTGCCCTAGCTGTGACGTGCACACCCCTGTGCAACCTTCAGACCGGAGCAGCCAGTGCTGGCCCTTTCCTGCAGGGCAGAAAAACATTCCTGAGCTTGTTCTTCCACAGAGCCCCATAAGCAGCTTCCCAGGACAGCCCTGAGTGGCAGGATATTGGTGATAGACTGGTCTCACCTCCTTTTGTGCTCCCGTGCTCAGACACACCTCACACTGATTTCCTTGTATCTGAAACACCTGGACTTTCCTGGTTCGGGAGGAATGTACAAATTGCCCCTGTGTCGCAGGTTTGGCAGCACAGGAAATCCCCCAGAGCATGGTCCACCTCAGCTTCGAGGCAACTCACCCCCAGGCAGGTGGTGAAGCTCCTCTCTGGACAAACCTGTTTCCCAGGCACTGCCCATCCTGCTGAGTGCCTGCCAGTGGTGCTTGTGGTGAGAAACCATTAGACAAGATCCAAAAGAGAGGAAAAAACGAAGGGAAGAAAAAGGGAGAACAGGTGGGGACTAACTGCGGTGATGCCAACTGGCAGGCGCTGTGGTGAGAGAGGATGAGGTGAACCACAAAAGTTCTCCTTTTTCCAGCTCACACTTGGATATACACGCGGGGCTACGCTTGAGGCACAATTTCCTGCGAGAAGGGAGGTCTCCTGGCCCTTCCCAGGAAAGCTGCACAGCCACAGAGAGCCACTCCTCTGGGTTTTCACCTGCTCCTTTGAGGCAGACAAGTGCAGCCAAGGCTAAATCGGGGAAACCCGGGGAAATCCTTTCCACTGACTCAGACAGGAGGAAAAGGCTTTCCTGCTATTAAAAAAGGAAAGTGTTGGTGAATATCCACCCACCCCAGCTCCAGCTCAGGATCAAGAAGTCAGAAGCCAGCGCTGCAATGCTGGTGTGGGACCAGCACAGGGGAATCCCACCAGCCTCTGGGCAAGGAGCAAATCCATTCTCACCCAGCACCAAGGCCTGGGGTCAGGGAGCAGCATCAGCCAGCTCGAAGCCTTTCCAACCCCACAAAGTGCGTCCAGACACACGTTAAGCCCTAAAAACATTTATTATCTTAAAATTAAACACGTCCATGGCTTGCTTTTGGTGGCTCCATCCCTGCTGCAATTTGGAAGTGCACCCCTCCCTCCCCCCCCCACCCCCAGTTCCTTGTTCCCAGCAGCACTACAAATCCCTTCTCTCTTCCCAAAGCACAAAGCAGGATGGTTTTGGTGGGATCTCAGTTTGCAGGAAGCCATTGCAGGGGTCCTCAGCAGCATTAACCACGCGGGTACAACTGTCCTCCCCTCAAAATCCTAATTTCTGATTCCAAAATGAACAGCCTCATCTGCCTTCAGCCACTCGGATCAATTTCACTTCAATCCACGGCAAAGCAAATCCAAGGGCCTCCTGGCACCAGGGGAGCTCAGCTGTTGGGCGCCCTTGTCCTCGCCAAATCACTCCACTGGTGATTCCCTCAGGGCTGCAGCTGAAAAATAGCATTAAATCCCAGCCAGCTCAGACGTCACCGCCTCTGCACGGCATGGCGGGGGCTGGCTGGCAGGGAAAGGCCGGGAGCTGGAGCCTCTCACTCAGCCAAAGCGTGGAGGTTTGGATTAGTGGCTTGCTTTTTCCCGTTGTTTCTGGGTAGGGTGGCCATTCCTGAGCGTGGTGGCTGCTCCACAAATGCAGGTGCACCCAGCTGGCAAGGTAACAGGGAAGGAGTAAGGAAGGTTGCAAAAGCCCAGGGAAATCCCTGGGGCAACACCATTGTCCACCTTGGGTCTCCATTGCTGCTTTCACCCTGGAGTGCAAGTGCAGCACGGAGCTCAGCTCTGCCAGCAGCTGATGTGGGAGGATCGGGTTGCAGCCTTGGCCAGCTCCCCTGGATCTGAAGGTCACCTCGTACCCAGCCTGTGCTGCTGGAGAAAAGAGGTCTGTTCCCACCTGGTCGGGTGGTGAGGTTCAAGGACACACTCCAGATGTCCCTGCCCACCCCCGGGAAGGCGAGGAGGGTGTGAGCACCCGGCCACTGCTGAGCTGGAGGGTGCAAGGGGAGAAGAGCAAGGTGGCTTCAAGTACACAGCAGCAAGCAAGAAAAATACTTGTCAGAAAAGGGACTTGGTTTGACTAATCCTGAAAAAAATAATGGCCATAAATTGTTATTCCCCAGTGCAGGGAAGCATAAAGATTGAAATAATCCAGTCTGAGCTGCAAAGCTGAGGGCAGGCAGTAAGTGGCAATGAAGAAGGTGCAGGTTCTTCCTCTCAGGCATCACCGATAAAAATCCAAACCCCATCAAACCACCCTTGCCCCAACCCTGCGGCCCTGTGGGGTGGGCAGGATGGCACTGGGGGCTCAGCCTCGGGCTGCTCTTTGTCTCCCAGAGCCCCCGTGCCTGTGCAGAGGCTGCTGGTGCTGGGGCAGGCGCTGTGCCCGCTGCTGTCCCAACCTGCCACCACAAAGCCGCTTTGTGCAGAGCCGGCCGGGCATGTCCCCAGCCTCCTCCCTGCTCGTGGCCCCGGTCTCCCCCCATGCTGCCTGTCCTCTCACAGGCCAGGGAAGAAGGCAAGGCCACACCAGGACAGGGCACATCCACCCACCATCTCCTCTTCATCCTCCCACCATCTCCTTCATCCCCAGCTCATCTTCCCCATGACTTCCCAGTGGGTCACATCCCCCCAAACCTCTCACCCCGCTGGGATGGACCCTTCCCTGGAGTGGGAACTGGGCAGCCCAGCCTCTCTGGTGAGCTGTCCCACCTCCCCCAAGAAGTACATCACCCTGGTAGATCTCCCAGCCCTTTTATTCACATGGCAGCCATCACATTCAGTCGGCAGGAGAACCATGGTCCAGGAAGCTGTGAAACATCCCAGCACTCCACAGGATGAACTAAGTGGTTGGGGCTGTTAGATTCTCCCATGCCATTCCCAGTCCTAAAATAAGCCCTGCAGGCACTAACCCCCTTGCAGAGGGGCTTCTGAATCACAGCTAAAAGATCCCCTTTCAGTTAAAAGATCCTCTCCATTATCATGTCCAAGCAATTGAGAATTCCCCCTCCTGATTGCTTCCCCCCCTCCCCAAAAAGCCCCCAAGCAGCTAGAGCAGAAATTCAATGAGCAGCCAACCAAGCTGGGCAGCAGGAGAGTCCACGTGCAGGAGGCCAAGCCTTGTGCCTTGCAGCTGGGAGGCAGGTCACAAGACTCCTTTCACCAGGTGATGCTTTTCTGTCCCTTGGTCCCTGCCCTGCATCCACAAGAGCCCCAAGGCAGCATCTGCTTGCCATAGGCAGCGTCCAAATTCCAAAGAGAAGGGCAGTGCCCTGTTCACACCTCTAGGCCCTGGGGTGAGCAGCAAAGCTGCTTCCTGGGGGATAATTCAACTGCCCAGCAGGAAGAGCCCAAGGACCCCTGCGGATCCCTGCTCCCTCTAGGGTAGACTGCAGCCTGTGCCTCCTTTCCCCACGGGGAGCAGCATTAAAAGCATGGGGATTAATGGCATGGTCCCTCCCCTCCACGTCCCCTCCTTCGCTCTCAGCTGCCCTCTGAGAGGGTGGGAAGGAGCCCCAGGGGCACCCAAGACCCCCCACCCTGTGCTCGCCTTCAGGGGCTCTCGGCCAGGCCGGGGGCTGGGCCGGTGGCCGGGCTGGGCTTGGCGAGCTGCCGCAGGTCCCGCACGGACCTCACGGCCCACTGGGCCAGCTCCCGCAGCACGCCTAGGCCCCGCAGCTTCTGCTCGAAGAGGCTGAGGCGCGGCGGCGGCGGCGGCCCGTCCTCCTCCTCGCCGGGGATCCCGCGGCTCTCCAGCCGCAGCAGCTCCTCGAGGTGGTAGGCAAAGGCCGAGACCTGGAGCAGGACAGCCGCCAGCGCCCGGCCCAGGCCCGCGTCGGCCTCGCCCAGCTGCTCCCGCTGCTCCTCCAGCATCTGGGCCAGCAGGGCGCGGAAGGCCCGGTAGGCCGCCAGGTTCTCCAGCAGCCGCTGGGTGCCCGTCTGCTCGTCCCAGCGCTCCACCGCCGCCAGCGGCACCCCCTCCATTGCCGCCACGCTGGCCGAGGCGTCCAAGCCCTGCTGCTCCACCTGCAGGGTGAGACCCGCCGGGGATCAGCGGAGGCAGGACAAACGCGGGGGGATCCCCAGCCCTGAGCCCTGCGGCCGTCGGGGCAGCGCGAGCCGCCCGAGTCTTGCCCAGGTGCGAGCAGGCCCGGATCCAGCAGGACTCCGTGCCCCATCCCTGCCAAGGGCCAGACTCCTCGCACCCCGGCACAGCTGCCCAGATCCCAGCAGCGCTCCCGGCCCCGCGGCAGCCAGAAGGAGCAGGGCAAACTCACGTAGGCGTCCAGGAGGTCAGCGACATCCGCGCGCATCTTGCCGGCCAGGCGGATGCCGCGGCTGCAGAGGTCGCGGCGCTGCAGGGCAGCGGAGGGGCTCTCTGCGGCCGCCATGCTCCGGGCAGCTGTCACGGCCACCAGGCTCCGGGCGCAGCACCCGCCCGGCCCGGCGAGGACAATCCCTTGCTGAGCTGGTGCATTCCAGCCGGGAGCTCCGCTCACACGTCCGCTGGCCTGGTTCTCCCCCTCTTCCGTGCCTGGGGCCTGGCACCACGCTGCAAATTCCCGCCTCTGGGATCAACAGCGACAGATTATTTCCCTAATTCCCCCACGCATCGCTACTCCAAGTGCCTTGCCCAGAACTGTCTGGCGCAGCAGCAACAGGCTCCCAGCACCGGCTGACCCACTCCTCCCTCCCAGCCACACAGTGAGATTAGCAGCACGCTAAGCCCTCGGCTCATTCCAGAGCGCGGGAAACCACTGCCGGGAAGAGGTGAGCAAAGCCCAGACATTGCTCAACACCTCAGCCCGGGCAGCCGGCTGGAGCCTGAGCAGGGCCAAGCAATGCTTGAGGGCAGCCCCCAGGCTGGAGATCCCGCAGCAACCCCAAGCCAAACTGCAACCCAAACCCTGGCAGAAGGATCTGTGCCAGATGCTTCTAACCCCCCCTTCCCCAGAGGCGTCCTGCCTAAAGAGGGGCTGCAGATAAGGAAAGATATCCCAGCCACGCCAGAACACCAGCCACCCCACAGGTGAGCTGCACACACCAAGACAAAAACAGCCCTTCGGGTTGGGTTGGTTTTTCCTCAGTATGTTTATTTTGGTTATGCATTACCTAGATCAAGAGTGAGAAAAACCCCAGGAATTGAAAAGCAGCTTCCCATGAATACACAGTGTGCCTGGCTGGGGGTCCCAGGGCTGGGGGGTCCCCATATGCCCAGCAGCCTCCTTGCCACCCCGTGGCTACTGCAGAAGCTGCTGAGCTTGGGGAGCCCCTGGCCACGGCAGCCCCCAGCCCCAGCCTGGTGGCCCAGGGCCCCTCAAGTGCTGCTCGTGCCCCCTCCAATCCCTCCCCGGGAGGAGAAAAAAAAAATAAATACAGGGGAAAAAAATACAAAAAAGTTTATTGCAAACTACTACAATAATTTATTGAAGCAAACTGCATGCGAGTGAAGGAGAGACATCGAGGGGAGGAGGAGCTGCAGGAGGGCTGTGTCAGTTTTAGGGCTTCAGAGGGGCGTGGGAAGGGAGCTACACATCTCTCCTGCACCAGGAGTGAGCAGGCTGTGGTTAGAGGACAGACAGGCACCTGGCCACGGCCAGAAAAAGAAAAGGGAGAGCTACAGGAGGTGTCATGGAAGGACAAGGCAGGGAGAGGCAGAGATCAGAGGTGTCCAGGCCGGGAAGCAAAGGAAATGTTTGATTTTGCATCCCAGGAGTGCAGCCAGGGGCAAACCCTGCTCCACTGGGGCGGACGTGGGACGAGGCAGCCTCCCCCAGCCTGGTGCCAAGTGCTGGGTCACCAGAGGTGAGCAAGCCCTTGGCCCAAAGGCGTTTCAGTGCCATCCCTCAACCACCAAACCCCCGAGCTCTCCTTTAGTGTTCTGTGCAAGGCTCTGCCCACCCTGCACCTCCCACAGGCACAGGGGCCAGCAGACCCAGCTCCAGCAGCACCATGTCAGAAGGACAAAGCCAACCTGCCCCGAGGGCCACCAAGTGTCCCCAGAGTGCTGCCCCTCTCTAGCCTGCAAGGGGAGGGGACCAGCTGCTACCCGGAAAGTTTCCTGCTGGAAACCACAGTAAAGCAATCCAAGCAAGACACTGGATCATCTCAACTGAAAGAACTGGTTTAGTTTAACACCATTCTGCCACGGACCTGCCACCAGGTGTGCTGGGCCCTCACGTGAGCCAGGCTGCTGCCACAGCGTGACCACGGGATGCCCACACCCAGGGCACGGGACACCCAACTGCTCAGCCTGATCCGCCCCAGCACCAGGAAGTGCTTCGACTTGCTCTGACAAAGGTATCAGTCTAAGAGGGAGGGAGGAAGGGGGCAAACCAGGACACACAGCCTGAGAAAAGCCAGCATGTTTGGGCCACAGCTGGATTTCCAGGCATCACAGGGGACAGAGTGGGTGTTCAGAGTCAGTTTCCTGTTAATCCAATTAAATTCCAAGTTTTATTGCGGTTTTCCAGACCCCCAGGTACCCGATTTCAACAAGCTGCTGTGTGCTACAGACCAACTCAGCTGATCTTGTGCTCAGACAAGATACTTCAGCTCTGCTCCCAACCCCAGAAACCCAACCAAAAAACAAGCAAACAAACAGAAAACAGGTTATTCTTCACCTCTTCCAAAACCGCTACGAATTCAAGGCCACTGAATCTCCACACAAAGTTTCAGAAAAGAGCAAAAAAAAATCCAAGTCTCCATAGCAGACACATCTGATCCTATGTAAACTTTTCCAAGGGCTCAAAGCTGCCCTAACTACACCAGCAGGCAGCACCTGACCCGCCACATTTCAGGGAAAGCTGGGGTGTCTGTGCAGAAAAGAGAAGCTTTCAGAACACGCTACACAATCCCCCCTCAAAATGAGGGCAGGGAGAAAAGCTGACAGCCCCGTCGTCCCACATCAATCTATTGCCTTGGATAAACAAGCCTGAGAAAACCACATCCAGTCCCTGTTAACAGTGTCTTTGTCTAGACCTGGAAAGGAGAGGCAAAATTGGATGAGGAGCACCACATCCCCCAGCAGCAAGCAGCTCAAGGCTGTCCCAAGAGTCACAAGTCACAAGAACAAGCTCCTGGCTGACAACGTCCTTCCCCAAAAGGCTGGAGGCAAAACAGGCATTTAATGCAAGGAGCTCACCCGGAGCTGGGAGCGAGGGAGACACAGCCCATCACTCACCTCATCCTCCTGCTAACACGCTCCTGCAGAGACTCCCACTGCACACAGGCTCTTCTCCAGGGGCTCTCCCTCTACTCTGCAAAAGCTGCAAGACACATCTGACTCCAGAGTGCTGCCTTCACCTCAGCTCTCCCAGCCGCTGGCACAATGGCACTGGAGCTCCCTGCCCTGGAGCCTACTGGGAAACAGCCTGAACCCCTTCCACCCCCGCCCCTAAGAACAGAACTAAAAAATACCGACCCTTTTTTAAACAATAAATAAGGAATCTTGTTACCACAACACAAAAACGAAGCATGTTCAAAGTGCAAATTACTGTCGTCAAACTGGGATGCTCCTCCTTGCCTCTCCCACGCAGGGCTCCTGTAGCCCCCGGGCCTCTCCAAGCAAACATGATCTACGAGCCAGGGCGTTCCCTCCCTCCACTTCCTGCCAGGGCTGGAGCAGGGGAGCGCGGTGGGAGCGGGATGTGCACTGCTGCTTCACAGCTCACCCTGCCGAGGGGCTAAAGTGCCAAACTCCCAGCCCCGGCCAGGAAGGAGGAGACTGCAAGGACCAGAGTGCAGTGGTGCATAGAAGTCGGGACCAGGGGCAGAGGGAGTCCTAAGGAACTTCTCCAGAGCACGTCCAACGCTTTTTAGTTTGCCAGCGGGGCCACGCCAAGGAGCCGGAAAGGCAACTGCTTTGGGGTAGAGCAAGGGGTTTCGGCTGTGCCCCCTCCCCTGGAGAAATCCGCCGCTCAATCCAACTTGCTCTGGCAATGGCAGCACGTGCCCCTTTCCACAAAGGGGCCGTGGGAGAGAGAGAAGTGGTTGGGAGAAAGAGGATGTGCTGTGATCCGCGCTGGAGGGGAGCAGACCCTTCAGTTATTTACTAGTATTGTAAGTTTTGTTTAACTTTCCTCTCTTTCAGTAAGTGCCTCCTCCTTTTTTTTTTTCCTTTTCCTTTTAAATACAGAGTCCCAACTGTCCCAGCACCCAGGCGCTCCCCTGCCACTAGGGTCCAGTGGAGTCTGAATCTTCAATGAGCACCTCCGTGCTGGCTCCCAGCATCTCTGTGTTCATGACCAGCCCCTCCGGGTTCGCGCTGCTGCCGCTGCCCACGAAGAGCTTGCCGTCAGCCACCAGGCTCACTCGCTCTGCCCCGCCACAGTAGGGCTTTGGCATCCCCTCTGGGCTCAGCAGCAGGCAATCTGCTGGGGGAGCGCTGCCCAGGGGGTCGGGGAGCAGCGGGAGGCCCTGGCCATCCGTGGGCGGCACAATGGCCTCGGGATTAGTGCCCAGGATATCGGTGCTGGTGATCAGGGCACCCGCGTTGGCAGCCAGTGCTTCAGCAATGAGCACTTCGGGGTGACTCTTGGCTTTGTGGGCCACGACGCTGTCCTTCTTCTCGAATTTCTTGCCACAAATATTGCAGGAGAATTGGTAGAAGGAGTCTGCATCATGCTTCTTCATGTGCCAGTTGAGGGAAGCCTTCTGCCGGCAGGTGAATCCGCAGATCTCACACCTGGGAGGGGACAACGAGGAGGTCACAACAAAGGGACATCCACGCACGCTCATAAGGACAACAGTAGCGAGGTGGCAGCTCAGGAGAACAGCAGGGGCTCGCTAATGTCACTGCAGCTCCAGCTCTGATTTTATTTACTGAAGGCTTACGTTCCCCAGATCACACCAAGACACGGCCCCGAGGAGCAGGTGACACAAGTGTGTGTTCAAAGAGAGCTGGGACACCAGGAACAGGCTCCAGCCTGACTTCAGAGCTGCTCTGAAATGGGTGTTTTGGGGGTCCCTCAGAGCAGGAGGGTGAGGCACAGGCAGAGGTACTCACTGCAAGGGCTTCTCGCCCGTGTGGATCATCCGGTGCACTGCCAAGTTGTGGGAGCTCTTGAAGGCCCGGGCGCAGTACTCGCAGATGTAATCCCTTTGATCTGAAAGACAACACCAGTTGCAGCATTGCTCTCCCACAGACCTGCCCCCTTTCCCAAGGCTCAGGCGGTGCAGGTAAAGCTGCCCAAGAAGGAGCAGAGCTACAAGTTCTGGGAGGAGGAGGTGTCCCACAACACACCACAGCTGCTGATCTGGAGAGGCGAGGCATGATTACGACTCTCCTAAGAGCTAATTATCCACTCTGACCAAAACTGAAAGACTGGCAAATTGGGATAAATCAGACTTTATCTGTTGAGGCTTATTCCTCTACAGAGCCCCTGAGTGATGCCTGCCAGAAGGAGAATTAAAACCTCTATAGTCTATTTCTTTCATTCGCTTAAAATATGGTAATCCAGAAGACAGTAATACCCTGCTGCTGCTGTAAATCTATGCCACCTGACTTGGCTTCACTCTCTGCAGAAGTCCCAGAGGCTTTTCCATTTTCTCTCTATCTGTTCACTGACCTGAAGAGGAGTTTGCATCTATTTCCCACCCCCCTGTACCTGTGTGATGTTTGGCATGCCGCAGGAGCTGCTTCTGGAGCCGGAAGAGCCGACCGCAGGAAGGATGAGGACACAC